CTACTTTGCTAATTCTGCCTTTTTCCTTAATTCTTTTCCTCTACAAATTGCTGTATAAAGAAATGAATAAAGAGAATAGATGGGGAAATGTTCAACATGTTTTTAATATCTTTCAACCAATTTTAAAACTGCAGAGATATTATGTTATGGAAAATATTTTCTAAAGGTCATAATTTTATCAAATTCTCCAAGAGATGGAAAAGTAATAATAGGCTATATATATATAGAATTATTTTACAAATTCAATTGTTAATAATTAATTCTCTTATAATGCAGCTAAGACATTATCAAAAATTACAGCTGTATTATTTGTTTTAGTTGTTCCTCTTTTGATTGAAGTTCTTGGTCTAACATTTGGATTTGCTACATTTATTTATTATTAAGTTGATTATGAATTAATAAATGTAACCTTCTATGCCATTTATTATATATTTTTAGGATTTGTTCCTGAATTTTATGGACTTTAGGATCCTTTAGAAACAGATTTACCCATTTATTATTATGGTTAACCACTTGACTCTTCTTAATATTCATCTTCTTCTTCAGATTCAATAGAATTTTCAATATCTTAATCAACATTAGAAACTTTATTAAATTTATTACCAAATCCAGCAGTTTCTACTGTATGTTTAGGATCATTTTTTCTATTAAATTCTTTTCTTTTATTCATTTATTCATCAAAATTAGGATATGGTTCTTAATCTTAATCTTATTCTTGATCTTCTATCATTTCAACTTCATCTTCATCAACTTAGGGTAGATGAGTTGTTTATTGGGTTACCATTTATTAAGGTATATGGGGTTGATTAATTTTATAATTAGAAGATTATTATTGCATTGATAAGATAGAGTGAGTATTAACTCTAGAGACAGATCGAGTTCTCATTTATGAATATGCTATATATAATAATAAATGATACTTCTACTATCTGTATCTGAGACATCATCTTATAATAAAACATGAGTTGCTTATGTTCCATCTTAAGTTTCTTCTTAAAATAATTACATTTAATATTCTTTGGCTATTTATTCTATTATTTATTATTACAATAAAGCATTAATAAATTTAGATTTTCTAGGTCTATATAAAAATAAATGAATAAAAATAATACTATTAAGGATCATCTCTTTCTTATTAATGAGGATAGAGTGATTATTTAATTACTCTATCTTAATTTGGATTGAAATGCAATATTGGACATTAATTAACCATATGAGAATTGGCTTTACATCCATAACATTTAATTTATAAATCTGATAAATCTTGATTTATTTTCACTTTATCTTTAATCATATAAAAGACTTCTCTTTCATCTGGAAATTGATCCAATAGATTTACAAAATTATCTCTAGAAATCTTAAATAGTTTTCCAAATCCTTTAGAAACAATTGTAGCTGTTCTAGGTTAATTTGTAATAAAACTATAAAAGCCAAAATATTCTCCTTTCTCTAAATCAAAAAAATTCAATAAATACTTCTAAAACTTTAATATTATTTCTCTTAAATTTTACATTCATCTTATTTTTTGCTTCAAAAACTACTTCCATTTCTCCTTTATTTATAATATAAATAGAACAATCATCAATATTATTCATTTCAACTATCCTTTCTTCAGGTATAGTATTAATCTCTTCCATAAATGGAACTAAAGCTTATTAAAATTTAATTGAAAAATTCCTTTTAATAAAATCACATGATTCTAATATAGATGCTCTTAATTAATATTTTAATTCTGCTTATAATCTCTCTGATAATTTACTTACAATATTTGAAACATTTTCATCAATCATTGATTATTCTGCCTAATTTAGAATTAATTAAAATTACTTTGCAAATATAATCTAAATAATTTCTAATACGAACTTGTAAATTAAAATCAATTTTATTCATTGACATAAAATTATTCATTAATTTCATTGATTCTGAATAAATTTAATTTCTTTAAGATTTATAGAAGAAAAATCCTAAAGAAACTACTATTATACCCATTAAAAATAAAGATAAAAATGACATAGCTGCAGCAAAATACTTTTCATCATTATTAGCTATTTTAATTTCTGTTGATCCTACATTAGTAAGATAAATTGCAGCCCAATGCAATGATTCTGCATATCTAATACTATCATTAGCACCTCTCAATTAATTTATATCTAACCATGTATATTTACTAGTTGGTTATCCTAATCCATGCCATATACATGCTGCCAAATGTATAAAATATATTAATCCACATATTATTTGAGTCATTTATAAACAATCTTTTAATACACCCTTGATATTAAAGTATTCTTAAATTTAATTAAATATCTATTTCATTTTAAAGGTTTTGATTAATCCAAAAATCAAACACAAACATATTTATAAAGATATAAATTAATTTTCATATTAATGTACTATGATTAATTCATAAAGTAATGCAAATATACTTATCATATCTGCTAATGCAGTAGTTTTTAAATAATTCATTATTATATGATATCTCTGACTAAAATAATTCAATATAATATTATTACTTTATAATAATTCCTTTATGAATGTAGGCTTCATTTAAACAAATAAATATATCAAATGCACATATTACAAATAAAGCTATTTCTATTTACATTTTTTTTTCTTCATCATAAAATTATGAAATATAATTAGTTTCAAATGCTAATTTATAAGGCAACCATAAAAAAATTAAAATAAAAGTTGATACTTATATTGTATTCCAAAATATTTTAAAATTACTTTATGGATATATGACAGATATTTTATCCAAATAACTAGAAAAGAAACTGTAAAAAATATTATCAATATCATCTATTTATTTATCTGTTCCAAATTAAAGATCATCAAGTACCTAAACTTGATATGTACTTAATGAGCCTATTTTTTTTATATATGAATTGTCTATGATATTTTTTATAAAAGACTCTTCGTAAAGTCTTTATAAACTCTATTTAAAGACACGTTTCTCTTTTTATAGATTATCATCATCAAAAACCCTGCTATGTCTTTTATACTTTTTTTTCTATCTATTTGTACCCCCAAACTTTCTTTTATCATTCACACTATTGCGATCACTATTATTCTCACTTTTTTATTAGAATTTTAATATTACAATAAATTGTCCATATAATCCTATCTTGGGCTGTTATACTTTGAAGAAGAAATATTAGATGATTTATCATAAATCATTGAGGGCTATTTCAAAAACTAATAATTCATTTATTATAATTTATAATATTTATCAATTTACTCATTTATGTAGTTTGAAATCTCTCATTATTAATTTTATTTAATTAAGTAACTTTCAAAATTTTCATTTGTTGATCTTTTAAGATTTCCCCAAAAAAACTATTTGATATTTCTATTTTCACATTTTAATATTAATCATTGCTACCTTCAATTATATCTATTTATTCATGTTTTATATGATTATTAACCTTGATTTAAATCTCATGTTTATTACCAATAATTTTTAATTTATTGAAGTAATCTTAATATTATTATAATTCAAATAATATTCCTGAAGATTTTGTTAATTTGATACTGATATCTGAATTAAATTATATTGCATTAATTATTTACACTCTCTAACCAACAGATATCATTTCATATTATAATGGGTCATTAATATGAACTAATATATCTTTAAATTCTGTTATTTTTTATTTTCTTTCATCAAAATAATTTAATGTATCCATTACTGTAATCCAAAAACATAAATTAGAATTTTTTAATTATTGCATTTCCTCTTCATTTTCTGTCTCTGAATTGAATAGTATAGCTTTACGTTAATTCTTTTGATTTACTTTTATTAAATAAGATTTAGATACTATAAAGACATCAATACATGGAATGGTTCCATTTCTAAGGCTTTTGAGTGATCGTACAAAATACTTTTATTATTATTTTCCTAATTTTGAATTTATTTATGCTTTTTTTATTGAATTAATTTTAGTAGTAACCAACATTTTATTAAAAGGATATTATGTTATTATTTTAACCTAGATGATACTATAACTATACATTAGAAGTATTAAATATAATAGGATATTCTTTTAAATTTGTTACATGCAATTTCTGTCCAATTTTGATCTTATTGTATATTTAATCATAACTTTATTCACAAATAAAGAAGATTGAATACCATCCATCAGATAATTCTAAAATCTTTTTACCTTAACATTATTCTATTGCAACAACTAATAAAATCATATGTTGATTTAATGATTAATCATTTGTCCAAATTTCTTGTATTATAGTTCTACTTTATAATCTATATTAAATAAAATAACGATATTCTAATTCTAAAATTAACTTTTAATCTGTATAATTATTTTTAGATTATAATTTCCAAAATACTAATTTTGCTTATTCATATAACCAATCTTTTTCAACATCATATTGTTTAAAATATTCCTTAATTAATTTCCAATCAAAATTTTATGGTATTGTTGATAATCTACAAAATGAACTAAATTTCAATAAAGAATTCTTCATAAATTATTTTGAGATTTCATAAAATTTTTCTCCAATTAAACACTTTGGTAATTTGCTAATTTTAGATAATAATATTGTATTCATTTAAAATATTTCATTATTATTATTATATTCTTTTTTTTTAATTGGTGTAATAATTTCTTTTTATATCTCATCTGCCATAATTACTGTTTAAAATGAAATTTTTTTCTCTGATAATGAATCTCTTGGATTTTTACTCAAAAATTTAAATTCTTATTCAGCAAATTTACTAGGATGATATAATTAATTGTTGATTTTTATAGCTTCTTTTGAAAGTGAATTTAATAAATTTAAATCATTCTTTGTTGGTTTATTGTCTGATTTAATAATTTCTTCTTCTTCTGATAAATCTTCAAATTGAATGATAATTTTATTGTATTTATCATTTTCAACTAGTTATATTTTTTAATTTTTTCCTGTTTAAAACCCGCTAATCATTTAGTAAATAATTATTAATTATTTTTTAAAGAAATAATATAAAATAATTAAAATCACTATTATTATTATTATTATTATTATTAAGGATTCTATTTTAATGCCTAAAATTAAGTTAAATTGCTAATATCAATTTTTACTATTTAACGTTTTTCTATTCCATCATTTTCAAAAACCAAATGATGTTCTATTTCAATTGGTTGAATGTTATGTTCTTTCTTAAATTTTATTTTTATAGGGATTGTGAAAACATCCCATCCCCATCTTGTTAATAAATATGGAGGTTATCGAACTGTTACAACATCAGGAAAGAAAGTTTCATCAAGTGTAAAAGTAACATTCTTAATTAAACTATTCAAATCCAAATCTTTTAATGCTATTTTATCTGATTATTTTGTATAATCTAAACTAACATGTACTGTCCATTAATGTTATAATCCATCATCACTTTCATCATCTTCAAACTTATAGTAATTACCATAATTAACTTCAATCTTCAATTCATTAGGAAGTAATGATTAAATATTCTTTAATTCATCTAATCTTTATTAATATTAATTAGGAAAGTTGTTCTTAATAAAATTTTATAATTCTTGATCTATAGATAAAGGACTATCTTTATTAATAAATTCTATTCTGCACATAGGACATTTGTATTTAATGTTATTAAAATCAATCAAATCCAATAAACAAGAGTGACAGAAAATATGTTAACATTTCAATTTGCAAGGATCTATGAAAACTCCAAGACAAATTGAACATATATAATCATCTTTTGATATCATTTTTTTAACAAATAAATATTTCTTTAATAAACTGATAAAATTTAATGAATGAACTTCTGATTAATTCAAAATTGTAATTCTTTTTTAAATAATAATTATTAACATTCAAATACTAAAATAAGTATTTCAATTAAAAATATGATACTAAACATCAATTAGATAATTTTTTTTTAAATTAAAAGATAATATTGAAATTTTTTTGATTAATTTTTTTTTTAAATAATATTTGAAAGTATATATAATATATGATTCTATCCTTATGTTTTGGATTCAAGAGGTTTAATTGTTTAAAACAAAAATGAAGATATAATTTTTAAATTCAATCAAAAAAACAATACTTAATTTTAGAATACTTATAAAATAATTATTTAAAATCTAATATATATATATTTTTTAAAGTTATTAGAATAATATAATAGTTATTAAAGAAATTAAAATTAATGAATAGATTTAATGAAGTGTAAAGTTTTAATAGATAAATTATAATACTCTGTCTTAAGATTAAGGTCTTTCAAAGCTGAATTATATTGATTTTAAAAATTAATAAATGAATTAAAAAATAATTTGAAAAGATCCATATTTAAAATTAATACTTTTAATCTTATCATGTATTTTAAGTCATCTTATAAGAAAATTTGCTACATTTAAACTCTTGTAATATAGATCAACTTGAATCTTTTCTTGTATTGTATGTATATATATATATAAATTGATATGGTATAGTTATTTATATAAAGTTCAAGAGAAATAATGAATAATTTAAAATATGTAAATTTAATAACACTATTCATAGCTGATTGATGAGCTAAAAATGAATGAATCAAACAGTTTATTAAGATCAAAATAAGAAACACTAATTGAAAAATTATGTTAGTAAGAACTAATCAAGGAAATAGTTTCAATCTATCAACATAAAAATAAAGAATTTGAGTTGAAGGAAATTCATATATATGATAATGCAATTGTCATTTAGAATTTATATTTTGAATTGAGTAAATGTTATCATGAAATCAAATTTACAAAAACTAAAAATAATGATGGACTTTATGTGATCATCTTGTATAATGTTTAAGGAAAAGAATTTATAATTGCAAACAATGAATAATAAATGAAAAGAATTTAAGTTCTATTGAAAAAATTTTGTATAAATAAGAATTTTTTTGGAAAATATCAATTATTATAAAGAAATTGCCTTCCCATATCTTAAGCTATCAAAGTATTTATAGATTATTATATTAGAATAATAGTGAGGAACATTGCACTTAAGTTTATGAAAAAAAACTATTAAAAGATCCTAAAGAATTCCAAATATTTCACAATTCCATTACAATAATGCATACTTTAAAATATAAACCTGGATCTCCAAAACTCTATGAAGACAATTAAAAGTACTATATTCTTGGGGAAAAGATGAAGCTTTAATCTTTAGAGAATTTATTACTGAATGGATTTGATTTTCGAGAAATCCCTTTCGTATCAATCATATATATGATCTTACAAAATTTACAAAAGTATTAATAAAGAAACATTTATCATGGAAATATAAATCTATCATCTGTTTTTATTAATATTGAAAATGAAACATTAGAGGTTGTAATACTGTTTCCTAGATATGTAGAAAATAGTAATTATACAATTGAAAACGATCTTTATAATTTGGGAATATTAATATATCAAATTACGTTTTATACAACTAGTAACAGAATTAAATAATATGTTGATTTGGATCTAATCAATAGAATACATAATTAAATGGCTGATCCAAGCTTTAAATAAAACTAATATCTATTTTTATATAGAGTTAGTTAATTAGATCTATTAAAATAATTATTATCGCCAAATATTACTTTGAAAAGAGCTATCAAACATTAATGGTTTGTTACTATTCAATAAAATATTAGACATCAATAAATTCATAAATAGTTAAATCCAATCTTTTTACCTACTATTGTAGAGATTAGCGACTCATTGATAATTTCTTCTTCTCTAAATGAAGGAAAAATTGCAAATTTCAATCATTAATAATCTTTATAAGATTAAGGTATTTATATATTAATATTAATTATAGATCCAGAAGAATATTAACCAATCAAATGTTAGATTGTTAATACCATAAGGATGATACCATCTAAAAGAAAACATGATGAAGCAAGTCAATATCTCATGAAATCTAAAACTGTTCCAAATTCATAAGTAAAAAGAGCTTCTCTGCCTGAAATTACAAAATAAACCACTGTAAAATGATTATATTTCTAATGAGAAAATTATGATTAAATCAAGAGAGTTTTAAACATATTTTCATTATAAATATTCCTATTTATTTTTATTAAAATTTAATGCAGAACTAACTTAGGTCTATAAGAAGATGTAAATCAATGAAAAATGTAAATCAAGAATCTATGATTGATTCAATTAACACACCTAGAGATTATGATGTCTCTCTATTTAATTTTGTTGAAATAAAAAGGTTTTGCGATATATTGTAAATATAAAGATAAAAGGATAAAGCATTGAAATAATAATAAAAACGAGAACTTCTTAGGAACCTATTAGCCAAGAAATTTAGACTGATTTATAATGTAATGCGGTTACTACATCATCATGAAAGAGTAATTTTAGAAAGACATGATGAAGGACAAAAGAAGAAATCTGTTCTTCTTATATTTCCAGTAAACTTTGAATTTAACTAGGGTGATACATCTAGAAGATTTTGGGATATCATATTATTTATAACATATATCTAAACAGCTATTTATTTACCATTGAGAATAGCATTTATGGATAAAGGATCATAAGGAGTATATGAATTAGATCTAATAAACGATATAATCTATTGTATTGAGTATCTATCAATTTATATAGTTACAGACATACTTTGTATAATGAGATCTTGTTACTATAATAGATAAAATGTATTAGTCCAAAATTAATGGTTTATATTTTTGAATTACTTGAAGGGTTGGTTGATTCCTGATATCATAACACTTATCCCCTTCGATTCAATTTATCAGTAATAACTTATAAAATTGTTAGTTTTCATGTTTAATATCATAAATTTCCTAGATTTTTAAGAGTATTTCGTATCAATCGTATATTTAAAGTATCAACATTTCATTAAAATAAATAGTAATTATTTTATATTTATAGTTTTTGTTTTTAGTAATTGGGAAAATGTTTTTAATATATTTAACTCTTATTAGTTAAATATCTTTAGGATTATAGTAAAATTCATATATGGATTACATCTATTTTCTTGTCTTTGGTATTTAGCATCAAATATAAATGATGTACAATACTAAGAAGATTAAGATTATTAAGGATTAATTAATTCAAATTCAGAATACATTAATTGTTTATTTTGGGCTCTACAAACTTTTTCAACTATAGGTTATGGAAATGATGCTGCTAAAAATTATGCATAATATATAGTAGCTATATTATGGATGTTTTTGGGTGCATCATTTTATTGTGTGATATTATTAAATCTATCAGAATGGTTAAAGAAACTTAATTCAGAATCAGTATATGTAGAAATGCAAAATACTTTGAAATTATTTTTCACAAAAATTGAAGTTATTAAAGAAGTTTAAACTAAAATATAATTGTATTTATCATTAAACATTAAATAAAATTAAGCATGGTCATTAAGTTTATAAGAATGGTTTCAAAATTTACCAATAATTAGATAAAAAGAAATTACTCTTTATGTTTCATATATTGAAATGATGTAAATTCATTTTTTTCGGTTAAATCTTAATTTTTCTGTATCTATTTTACCGAAAATGATGTTAATGAAAACTTAATAAAATTGTAAAATTTGGATTAAAGATGAGGTAGTAAATGAAATTTATTTTCTAATTAGAGGTAAATTATAATATAGAACTTAATTTGGAAAAATACTTTTACAAATAGATGAAGGATAAGTTTTTGGAGAACAAGAGTATTTTAAAAAACTTAAATTATCAAAATAACACACTAGAAAAAACTATGCTGTTGCAATTGAATTATGTGAATATATCATATTAAATGGAGACTATTTCTTTTAATAAATTAGCTCATTCCCAGCTTTACGTTAGTATTTAGGAATCATTGCTCATAATAGAGAATAAAGAATGAAAGCTTAAATTATTTATAATAGATTTGAAAGAGAAAGGGAAATTATTAATACCTTAAAACTTGAAAAAATTAAAGAAACATGTAATATTGATGTAACAAGATATAAAGGAATGATTAAACCATTAAAATCTATTATTTATGATACATAGCAATCAAGAACTTAATAAGTACTTGAATAAATAATTCATAATAGAAGGAATAAAATTGATAAATTAATGTAGTAATTTAAAAAAGTTGTTTAGATGATTATTTTTGCAAATAAATTAATTGAAAAATAATAATTAAATGTTATTAAAGTACATCCACTTATGATTTTTCAATAATAATAAACATAAACAACTTTGAAAACATAATCAAATGAATCCAGAATATTTATATAAAAATAATAATAATCAATTAATAAAACTTATTAAAATCAAAATTAAAAAAATGAAAAAAAAATAGTTATTTAAATGAAATAATTTACTAATGCAAGTTACAGAAGACGTAAATAATAAATTAGTAATAAAATATGGATTCACAATTAAAGTAAAAAATATGTCTTATAATAAATGTTCAGAGTCAAATGTTCAAGATAATAAATTGAAAAAACTTATAGCTTTTAAGATTATGCTATTTAAGTTGATGATTATTCACATTATGAAAGATAATTGAAAATTTTCAGAAATAATTTTTAGGATCTTAAAAGCATGAAAAAATAGATCAAACAATATAAAGAATTATTGAAAAATTAAATAAGAGATTTAGAAAATGAACTACTTAATGTATGTACTTAAATTGAAAAACTAGAATTAAAAGAATGATATTTAAATTATGATTCTCGATTTTTTTTATTTGAAATATATTTGAAATTATTATTATTGTTAAATTTGTTTTAATAAATAATAAGGTAATTGGTATTTTCATTATTAAAATTAACATTTTAAAAATCGAAATTAAATTATAATTAAATAAATTAGATAATATTATTCTATAGATGTATTTTATATGAAAAATAACATTAATTAGTTAGAAAAGGATTATAATTAAATACTTCCTATTTTTTAATTAAAAATTTGAATATTAATATATTTTTGAGACTAATTTATACTATATTTATCTAAATATGTGTTAAATATTATAAAATTTAGAAAATGAAAAACAAAATTAAAAGATTATTGAGATTAATGAATTACAGCATAAAATGAGTATAGAAAAATTTCTATATTTATTCATTCTTAAATTTCTTAACTGTCCTTTTAATCTTGTCTTTCATCATTTTATTATTCAAAATCTATTGTTTATATTTCTTGATTATTTTGATGTATTTAATTGAGAGGTTAATTTTCTTATTGATTTGCTTCATCATTTGTTTTTCTTTGAGAATTTTATTGTATATTTTAACTTTAATCTTTATTAATTGTATCTTAATTTATTTGTTCTTATTCTTTATTATCAATTTATTCGTTCTATTGCTAATTAGATTCAATATTTTTTTATTAAATTTATTCATCTTATTCTTAGATAGACTTTTCTTATTATTGGTTGATTTATTGATTATTTTCTACTTTTTCTTCTGTATGCTATGGTTTTTCAATCAATTCATTAACAATTTTGGAAACTTTATCTTGATAAGGCTCATAAGGTTAAAAATCAGATTCAAATAAGCTTTACCTTTATTAGAAGTCTTAATAATATAATAATTATCTAGATTCTACATTATTTTCTTATCTTGTTCTTTATCTTAATGAATATATAATATTCAGTACTTTGTTTATTGACTTTTGCTTTCAATCAAAGGATCTAATTTTCTGTTAATACAATTTTCTCTTTCTAATATATAATATTTAACAATTACTCTATAATTATGATTCACTAATTCTTGAGTTTGTCCAGTATTGAACAAGAGTTTTAGTAGGTTTGAAATTCTTATAAGGATATTCTGATATATTAGCAATGTGTTATTCAACCCATTTTCTCTCTTCATTCCAATCTTTAACGTTGTACTAAGACTTTTAGTCCTATATTCTCTTCAATAACTGTTAATTTTCCATAACAATTTTAATCAATTCCTTTTTCCTATGATCTTTATTTAGAGACTTTTTGGGAACGAAATTCAATGTACTTGTTTTGTTAATTGGAAGAGTAGAAATAGAGTTATCTGCAAATATAAAATAAGATATATTACTTTATGATGGTTACATAATATTAGTTAATTTGGATATAAGATTTTGATTTTCCCTATCTATTTCTTATTGCTTTTATTATTTAATAGCTTCTTTAATTTTTTTACTTTTTAGAAAATCATATTATTTTGGTGCACTTGTGTTAATCTATGGTCTCATGGTTAAGAGATGCTGATTTAATATTACTTAATTTTAAAAGATTTCCTTTGTGGCACAGATTTTATTTCCAATTGGTATATTTCGATTCATAATATTATTATTTTATTTTATATATATATATAGAAAAAAGTCTAAAAAATAAGTCTTTATAATTTATATTGTTATTTAATAATCCAATTTATCAATTATTATAGATAGAATTTGCTCATCTATATATTTTATATTATAGACATAGTTAAATTAGATTATTTGAAATGCACTTAACTTATTATTAATTTTCTAAAAGTATTTGCTATGTAATACATATAATAATACAAAATTATTATATGTATTATTATTAATTCAAATAAACATAAAATTACTATAAATATATGCTTTTATTTTTATTTCAATTAAATAAATTAACTTCTAGATTTTAGTAAGGATGTTTAACTATCCTTATTACTCTTCATTTAAAATAAATATATTTTTTTTTAAAATGATCAAGAAATTTTCTTTAAGCTTCATCTCCTCAGAACTTGAATATTCCTTTAAAAAATGGATTATTGAACAATATCAATTCATTTATGAGACTACTCTTGCTACAATTACAATTTATCTTATAATCAATCTGATCAATTACAATAACGATGTCATTTACATCATAACAACTTCAATAAGTCTTTGTATTGAATTAACAATACTTTTTTTCTATCAGAAATATCCTTTGCAAAGAGAATTTATTCAAAGTTTGAACCTAATCATTTTTAGTATTACGATTGATATTTATATGATTTATAATCAAGCCCAAGACACAGCTATAGAAATGGGGATAATAAAATATAGTATAGAATCTATTATTATTAAAAAGTATTATATCTATAGGGAAATCGATTTAGAAGCTAAACTTTGATTTTTCTCCTTAGTTTTGGAGTGGAAGTTTCAATATCTTAGTTGAATATATTTCCACAAATAGTACATGGTTTAATGATATTATTCATTATTTTCTTTCGCTATTCGATTGAGATGAAAAGAAGACAATTTTATTTAGCACACAGATCTTAATTATAATATGAAAATTTGATAGAGGAATAATTGCCAACATGGGTAGTCTTGATTAAATATGATAAATAATAAGGTTAATTAAAGATTGATAAGATTAATAGAATAATGAAAGAAACATTTAATTTTGTAACTGATCAAAAATTTAGAGAGTTTCTAAGAGATTCAAATATTCAACCTTTAGAAGGACCAAAAAAGAAGTAATTTAATTTTGAAGAATTATTATTAAAAGAGTTACTATTTAAATAAGAAACTAATTAAATATCAAAGTTTTTAGGCTAATTTATAAACAATGAAAAAAAATGGTAATTTTAAATAACAAAAATCTATTTCAATTCAATTGAACCCACTATTTTACTTTTATTTATAGAATAAGGTGGAAATTTGTATGAATTCTATAATAATTAGATTAAGTGGAGAGATCAATAATTAGTTAATTAAAGCAAATAATGTCTAAATTATATTAAAGATTAAATAAATATTTTAAAGTTTTTCAAATAATAATCAAGTGTTTAAGAATTAATTCATATAAGTAATCTAATAAGTAATAGTTATATACTATTTAATTAAAGTTTGAACATCTATTAAATTACATAGATAACTTATAGTAAATTAAAATATAAAATCAATGAATTTAAATTAATAGATTTAATATAATAACTTAAAGATGATCTTAAATTTACAAATAATCAATTAAAATTGAATATAAATATGAAAACAGATAGATCAAAAATGATATCAATTATATTGAGTATTTCTGAATTTATTAAAATTATGCTAGCCATCATAACAAATGATGAAAAATAATTATATGAATGTCATCCATCAGGATTTCCTATCTAAATCAAATTCAAAAGAATCACACATTAACCAAGATGTTTGAAAATTATTATGAAACATTAAATTCTTAAAATACCACATCAGATATAACAAACATTATTAAGGGCTGCTTCCTTTACTGATCATAAAAAAAGGAATTGGGGAGTCAATCATTATTATGAAAACATCTAAAATTTAAGTGATCAGATTCATAATTTAAACATAAAGGCTCAGAAAGTTACAAAAAGTCAAATTTCTTTATTAGATCTAGATTCAGCTTCATATTAACAAACTAAGGAAGTTTATCTAAAAGGAAGTACAGAGCCTTTTAGTACTTTAGGCTTACCTTTAGCTTAATATCTCATTTGTCAATTGGGACCAAATAATCATATCAATTTTAAAGATACTTAATAATAAAAATTAGGGGATTCTTTATCTTTTAGAAATTCAACTCCATAAACAAAGATAAGTTTTATGATTTATGAAGATTTGAATGAATTTATTTAACAATTGAATGAATAAGATCCCAATCCTTATTTAGATTGTTTTATATCAAATGAAATTTAATAATCTACATTTAAGACATTCCATAGTCTATCTCCAACACATAAACATAAAAGAGGAAGTTTATAATCATTTATAAATACTTAATTAAATTGAATATAATTTATTAATTATGCTAATATATTACATTTTAATAATAAACTCAATAATATTTTGTTCTTAATCAGTATAAATCCCAGTAGAAGATGTGGAATTTATAACTCATAAAGAATCTGGATTTAAATTAATTAACTCAAAAATTCTTATAAATAGAGTTGATAAAGTAAAAGGTGTATTTGATGATGATGGTGTTAATTTTTTGCATTTTGAAATATATGATGTAAAAACTGAGTAATCAAAAAAGAAGATAGGTAGTATATTAGAATAATTCTGGAATGATGCAAGAATGGTTCCACTTAGATTGAGAAATTAATTAGAATATATGTTATTATTCAATTTAATAATTTTAGTGAAATAGCTTTCAAGAAACCAAAAAATGCTTAAATTGAAGTAAATGAATTAAAGAATAATATATGGTCAATATTAATTTACTTAAAGGATAGTGTAGATGTGATGGAAATTAAATTTAAAATACCAGAAAACCATTATAATGAGTAGTTTTAAAAGTTGAGAGTATTACTAGACTTTATTTGAAATAAGTATTATAATAATTGTGTGAAATGGATTAAACTAAATCAATAAGGAGCTTAGAAACCTTAAGGGGGTAATCCACTATTAGGATCTGTTCCTTTAGGTCTTCTGAAAAGTAAAATATGTGGTTCAGGTCTATGACATTCATAATGAACCCAACCTCTAGATTGTTAAACACCTAGATTTCTCCATTCCATTTCACTTAAGAGTTTTCCTAGACTTATGAATCTTTTTATTTTACCTTTTGTTATCTTTTTGAAAATATGCTTAGGGAGAATAACATGTCTGTATTCATAGTAATCATCCTAATATTTATCAGAATATTCAATATCTTCTGGATAGTGTGGCATAAAATAGTAGTTAAATAAATTAAAATTTAAAATAATAACTGCTTATATTTTGGAATATGGTAATATTTTTAATGTTGGTATTCATCTTCTAATGGCTAAAAGGGCTAGAGACATTATAGATGATAGGCCAAAAAATAATGAATAAGCTTAATGAGTTTAAGGTGTAGGTAAAGGCTTATCAAAATTGTCTTTAGTGGCAGGAATGGGATATAAATTGGCAGATTCTTCATCATACTCTTACACTAATCTTTCAATATAGGCAGAAGAACTATCAGTCTAAATTAATAAATAATAGTATATCTATATACCAAATTGAAAGATCTGTATAATTTAGACATGAACCATAAATCTATGTAATTGTAAACTCCTTCTCTTGGCCAATTTCTACGTCCTTTTAAAATATCTTCTTCTTCTCCTCTTCTGACCATACCAACAAATTCAACAAAAGGCATTTAGTAATCTTCTTCCATATTGGCTACATTTCTATTGAATCCAGTCAATTAATCATCATCCTCATTATGAGGAACATTTTCAAATGTCTAAATATTAAATAAAATAATATACAGTTGTACCAATGGGTTCTTGTCCCATTTAAATATCACTAATATTATCTTTAGGTACCCAACCTAAATTAACCATCACTTAAGATTTAGTTGTTTATTCAGGATCTTATTCAGTATCATTAAATTGTAATGCTGTTACAAATGGAGCAAAAACAAGAAACCCATCTCTACCTTCTCTTTCTCTTCTAACAAAAAATCTTTCATCCTATATTAATTATATTAATTGAATACTCTGAAATATCCATATAATTTGACTAATTTATATTCCCAATTTCTAATATTACGAGCCCATGGATATCTATTGGCATTTAATCCATTAATTGTTATAGGTTTCCATTCAGTAATTTCATTTTCAACCTTTTCATAAAGTTATTTCTATTGAGCACCTCTCCATTAATGCCAAGCACATCCATAAGCTCCACCAAAGAATACTCCATAAGCCAATAATTTGATTATTCCATTACTTTGTCTTTGAGCAAAAGAATTAAATACTTGTGTTGTAAGCATAAAAGATTGAAAATTAATATATTAAACTAAATGAACAATAATATATGTGATTATCATCCTGAACAAAGAATTACTATTCTATGTTTATACAATTCATGTAAAGAGGATCGTTTAGGTTGTTAGAAGTGTCTTCTATCTTTACATAAATCACATATCAAAAGTTGTGTGTTAATATCAGAAATCTAAAAGAAATAACATTGTGTTGAATTATTTGCAAATAATCAAAATGAATAATAAATTGTTAAGTTTTCAGAAGATGAATTAATCCATAAAGACAAACTCAATTCAATTTCAAATCAATTACAATAATCATTAAAAAGTTGTTTAAATATATATCAAATCTTTAGGATATCTTAAGCAAATCAAATTGAATCTATTAGAGTAGGAATCCAAGTAAAAAACAATTCAAATGAAACATAATAAAGAAATTCTTAATTCATACTTCAATTCCTATGAATTTGAGAAATTAAAAGAACAATTAAACAAATTCAAAACAGGTTAATCAACTGAAGAATAAGTATTATTGATATTTTTATTAGATAAATGATTTTATATCTAAAATTATTAAAGATAGACAAAACTTATAGAATGTTTGTTAAAATTAATTAACTTAAGGATCTAAATAGAATGGATTGCCATAAGAATTTAAAGATATGGTAGTGACAGAAGTTTGTAATTCATTAGAATCTATTAAAAACTTTATGAGAAAAGATGATTGTAAATATTATATATATATTTTATAGCCATCTTTTTCTATAAATCTTTATTATCATAAGAAGAAGATGCCAATATTTAAGAGACAATTAAAGGAAAATAATTTATATTTAATGATTAAGATGAAGTACAACTCATTTATGGATCATGCACACTATCAAAAGGAATTTATGAATTTCAAATTGCTATTGAATATATATAAAATGAGTAATCAAAATAAGAGGAATAATAAGAAGGATTGGCATCAATTGTTAATAGTTCCCCTTAATTATATAATCCCTATTCTTAACATACTATTGGTGGTCATATTAGTAATTCTGGAATATTTGCACAATAAGAATATTAACATTTACATAGAGTTTATATAGGAGTTGTGGAAGATTTGGTTAAAGATTAAATGGCCACTTATTCAATAATGTATTAAACATAGTAATGTTGTGCTGTTGATATTGTGAGAGGAGCAGCCATTGGATCATTTCATATGAAATAATAATTAGGAGAGAAAATTGAACCAATCTAAACTTTGTTTCACAAAAATATGAAGAAAGGATTAGTGTTGGCATTTAAGATTAATTTAGATGAAAAGTATAAATTTAATATTATAGTATTTATTAGTAAACTGATATTAACAGATAGTGAAAACAAAACAAGATATGAAGGACAATTATACAATATGACAGGAGACAATATAAAACCTTATATCTTAATTTACAAGAGTAATGTTAAAGTAACGATTAATTGAGTTTTAAAAATATTTTTTATATAATTGAACATCTTAAATGAATTTCAAAAAAAAAAGAGAAATAGAAGAAGATTTTATATTATATATTTAATATATTATGAGTTATCTTTATTAAATTTTTATTATTCTTCATTTTAATTATAAAAAAAAAGCAGTTACTCAAAACAGTTAGTTTAGTTTATGATTTATCTGATTTATCCAAAATTTTAGTATTTAATAGAAAATAAATCTTGAATCTAATTTGGAAATCAAAGTATATGTTATGTTATCTTAAATATTTAATAATATTTTCTATTAGAATGTAATTATTTCATACACATTAATCTTTCTTAATACTTTATTTTAGATTATAAACTATTAAGACTTCTTTCTTAAAAGCAAGAATGAATATAGAATAAAATTAAAAATAAGATTAATGTCAAGTGATTATGAATAGTATTATATTGATTCTATCTGATAGAGATTTCTATAATATTACTTAGGCAACTCTTACTCCAAGGTTGCAGGAAGCTTGTCGAAGAGAAGGCATTCATCCTAATGAATTATTTAAGAAGACAAGAGAATAAGTTATGCAATTAATCAAGCAACGTGATACAGTAGGTGCATAACTTACAGAAGATATGGTCACAGAGATAGAGAAACATTTAGAAGATAAAAGAAAGAGAAGAATTAACATTGTTAGATCTTAAAGATAAAAAATACTTTAAGAAGACAATAATGTTAGTAGAAATTCAAATCATATCTCCAATTTAAATCTATCTACTATGAGTTTTGCTGACAAACAATAAAAAATGCTAGAGAATATAAAAAGAAGATAGTAAATGGAAATTGAAAAAATGGTTGAATAAGAGTAACTTAAAGAGAGAAAGAGTTAAATAGCACTTCAGAAAATGTTAAAATAGTAAGAGAAAGAAAAATAATTCCATGATGAATTATAAAAGAAACGCTATCAAAATGAACAGTTACGATAAAAATAGGAAATGGAGAGAAAAAAGAAAGAGTAAAGAGAAAAAGAATTGTTAGAATAAAGAACAAAAGAAAATGATTTAAAAGAATAGAAACGTCGTTAAAAGGAATAGGAAAGTATGATGAAACAAAAATAGGAAGCAGAATAAAGAGAATTAGAAAGAAGGAAAAAATAGGAATAAATGTAAAGGGAAAATGAATAATTTTAAAATGAATAATAAAAACAATTAGAATACAAAAAACAATTACTAGAATAAAAGGAGAGAAAAAGAATCTAAATGATGGAGAGTAGAACTATTGAAAGAAAAACTTAGGCTGAAAAAGAAAGAGCAGAATTAGAAAAGAAATTACAGATGGTTAAATAATATAATGAAAATTTACTAGAAAAGAAAAGGAATGATTATAGTGTGAAAGAATAACATGTAGAATAGAAAAGGAGAGAATTTGAAGAATATCTTGAGAAAGTCAGATAAGAAAAAGCTAGATAAGCAGAAGAGAAATAAAAGTAAATCAATAAAATTATGGTAACATATCTTTATTCTATTATTAAATAGTAAACTAATTAATAAAAAGAAGAAGAGAAAAGATAATAATATGAACATAAATAATAGGAATATTAAAAGAAAAAAGAAGTTATGAGTGAATAATAAAGATAATAAATGGAAGAAAAAATGAAAAAGTATAGAGATAAAGAATAAAAAATATAAATGATTTTATAAAAAAATGAAATGATGTAAGAATAATAAAAATAAGAACTTTAAAAGAAATTAGATAGAACTTAATTAAAATTATAAGCACTTGAATAAAAAAAGGAAGAAGATTAAAAATAAAAGTATATTATTTATTCTATTTTAGAATAACTCTTTAAATAATAAAAGATATTGATAAATTTGATAATTTAACTAGAATGGAATAATTAAGTGAATTAAGGAGAACTAAGCTTGAAATGAAGCTTTCTAAAGATGATGAAAGAACTGAAATGGTGAGAAGGGAAAGAGAGAATTTGGCAAAATAAGCTGAAATTATTAGAAAGGAAGCAGAAGAGAAAAGATAATAATTTATATAAGAATTTGAGAAAAAGAAGAAGTTATAAGGAATTACTCAGGAAGGCTAAAGAGATAAATAAGTTTCAGTCAATAATAGATCTTAATCATCAGGAATTAATATGAGATAATAATAATGAAAACCTAATTGAAACAAAAAATTTTGAGTATATTTTATTATTAAATGATGATGATATGTTGTTTATATCTATAAGAGTTATAAGAGTACTCTAAAAATATAAAAGAAAGTATTTATAAATTTTCTTTATTTTCTTAATATTTTTAGAATTATAAAAAATAATAGTTAATTTTGACAAAAATCTTTTAGAAAATAGAAATTTCTAGATATTTACAGATTAAAGAAATTTTATTTTATAGCAAGAGAATCAACAATATTATAATTTAATTATGGTATAATAACTCTATTAATCAAATTTAAATTTCCTTTAGTCATTGGGTATACTACTTCTTCATTATTTGGTTTAGAATTTAAGTTCGAGTATTTTATAGAATTGTCTCCATTTAAGAAATAATGGTCTTTAACATTTAGCATTATTATAGTTTGGCTAAATCATTAGAAATTTTGAATTTTGGCATTTATTTTTAAGATTAGACATCTGTTTCTGTGTCTGATTTTTTTATTTTTTTTGATTTTCTAACGATTGATTTTTATTTCTTTTTTGGAACCTCTTCTTCAACATTAAACAATAAAACTGGTTCTTCTTGCCAATAACCATCAAATGTAATATTTTTATCAATCTCAATGTTAGAACTCTAATCAAATTCATGTTCTTGCTCTTCACTAATTTAGATTTGTTCTTGTTCCTCCAAAGCTTTTATTAAAATTAATCAATACCTTAATCATTTTAATCTTCAAAGTCAAGAGCATAGAAATTCATAAGGTTAAGATATTAAAAATTATAATTAATATTGAGATTTTTTTCATTTAAAACTACTATATATATTAATGGACGAATCAAGAAATTTATAGAATTATATTTTTCTTAAATAGTATTATATGAGGTATTTGGTTTACTATTTCTATTTCATTTTAAACAAAAATTCCCTTCAAATATTGCTCAAATTATAAATACTTGTTATCTGTATTGTGTATCTATAAAATAGAAAATTATAATGTTCTTAATATTCATTATGTTGAAATACTTTGAAATTCTATAATAAATCTTAGAAATAATTAAAAAAATAAACAACATTGTTTTTTATGAATATAATGTAGAATTAATAATATTAATATAATGATATCAGATGATATTTATTGGGTACCTTAAGGAATAAAGGTTGATTGTACTATTGATGATTTAATTCAACCCAATGTAAAAAAGTTATCTACTTTCTAATTTAATTTTAATCAAATAACATAGAAGATTGAAGAGAAGAAGCAAAAAAATATAGAAGATGAAATTTTAGAATCATTGGGAATAACAGAAGAAGATTTGTTATTAGAATCGGCACTCTAAACTTATGATCATAAATTATATATAGAAGAATTGATTTAAGAAGCCTTACTAGATAAATAACAATAAATTCAATTTTAACCATAAAAACAATCTAATCATCTTAATAGTTCATTTAAAACACTATATGAAAGATAGTATCTCTCTTATACAGATAGCGCCTATAATTTCGAGGAAGAAATCAACTTTAAGACTCCTGATATGCCATCATTATAAATATTATTGTAGTAATATTGTACTGATAAGGAAGACTTAGAGGATTTGGAAGAATACTTTATAAATAATCAATAAATTAAAATAATTCATAAATTTACACAATTAAGAGGGTAAGCAAAGTAGTTGGTTTTTAATTATATAGAATTACAATAAAAGGATAATTAATTTATTGAAATACTATCTTAAAAGTTAAAAGAGCTTTCTTTAATAGATCCTGTTAAGACTGAGCATTTGCTTGATTATTTTAATAAGGATTAATTAAGAAATATATTAGATAAATAAATACCAATAGTGAGATTTAAAATATTATAAAATTTACAAAAAGATGATAAGTTGATGATAGAATATTTTGAATTATTATGTTAATTGCATCCTGATTAAGTAATAACAGAACTTTAGAAGGGAGGTTATCCTTAAGATGAATGTTTGAAATTGTGTAGATTTTATGGGAATTTGAAAGGTCTAGCTTTTTTATTAGAGAGAAGTGGTTCTGTATTGGAGGCTATTAATTTATAATTTGATGTAATTATGATTTATATTAAATCTTAGTTATTTATTTAAGGATTAAAATAATAATTGCAAAAGAATCCAAAATTATTAGATGGATAGAAGGAATTATTTGTTTATATTTAGGAGAATTTAGAGCCTACATTGAGTATATGTAGAGCAAATACTAAAAGAAATGATGATGAAAGTGATGTAGATAAATTTATAATATAAAATAGAATAATTGGTTTTAGGTTTTAATTAGATTGACAAAATTAAGATAGGAATTTTATAAGATTAGATTCTTTCCTGTTTTAAGATGTTTTAATTTACATTTTACAATGTTATTAGAGGAAGTACTGGAGAAAACAAAAATAAAAAGCTTACTTGAAGTAATGTGTAATAAATTTATTTATTATAGAATTTAAATGAGACTATGAAATATTTTGAATTTTAAGAGTTAAAGTCAACATTTTCATAGCTTCTTTCAGGTTAACTTTATGAATTAGCTATTTATGGTTAATCAACAATGCTTATAAAATAAACATGTAATAAATATTTAGTATAATTGTTTAAATAATCATAATCAGGAATAGCAGTTGATATATATTGCACTCATTGTTAAAAGTTAATAGAAATGGTATCTAAAGTATATATTGATTGCAAACATACATTTCATCAAGAATGTTCATCTGAATAACTTTGTAAAGCATGTATAAATAACTTTGGGTCATTAATCAATAAATTATTGACTATGTATGCAAATAAAAAGAGTACAAGATTATAAGTTCCAATGTAAACAGTTTAATAAAATGAATAAAAGGCTGAGGATACAAATCAAAGATAGAATAAATTAAATAAATTAAAAGAATTTGATTATTTAAGATAAAATAATAAAGGTTATTGATTTATAAATCATTTCAGAAATTCAAAAATTAACTAATTTTATTTAAGACAATTTTATAATAAAAGTAAAAATATCTAATTAAATTTGTGATTATGAATTTTAAGTTGTATTTAATATAATTTTTTTCATTGATCTAAATATCTTCTATTTTCATTTAATCTATTTAGATTGGCTTATTTCAATGAAGTTGGAATGATGAAATTATTTTGAATATTTTATTACTTTTAACTTTTAATAACCTCCTAATTATTTATAAACACCTTTAGATATAAAAATTTCAACTTTCATTTTCTTTTATCATTTTACTCTCTTAATTCTTCTTCAAATGATTATAGAGATTCCTAAAAATTAAATAAATTATCTTTATCCATCAATAATTGTACCTAATATTAATAATGTAAATAAAATTATAAATATTTATATTAATTATATAATAAAAATGGATGTAGTGATTTCAGCAGATGAATTTATGAGTGTTAGAAATGGTAATTAAAACACTTACAAGAAACTATGTTAATCATTTCTAAAAGTGAAAGATCCAATGATTTAGTTGAAAGTGGGGTTGTGTATTCTAAAATCACCACCTGAAGAAAGAATGGACTTTGAATTGGCAGTTTTAGAATAGGCAACTAAGGATTTAGATTTTTTTAAGAGTTTACATGACTCTAAACTACATTAAAAGTGTTGTAAAATGATGGTTTATAGACATTATATGAAAAATGATATTGTATTTAAAGAAGGTATGTTTATACTTAATATTAATAAGGTGATTCATCAAATGAATTTTTTATAATAATAGATGGGAGTGTTAATGTGTATGTACATAAGAAATAGGATAGAATTTAAGCAGAACTAGACCATGAATAATAACAATTAAAGGTTCTTTCAGAAGAAGAAATAGAACGTCATCCAAGTACTATAGTAAGATACTATTAACCTCCAAGATAACTTACAAGAAGAATGACAATCAATTTGAGAGAAGATGATTTTGAATAGTAATTAAAAATTGTATTTTAGGATATCTAAATCATATAAACCAAAAACATATATAAATACAGACAGATAGGATATTAAACATAAAGATGTTGAAATTATAAAAAAGTTAACTCATGGACTTGAGAAATTATAAGATAAGGAATTTCTATTTAATGGAGGTGTATTTTTACATGAGTTTGTTGCTCGTATCAGTGAGGGATAGATGTTTGGAGAGAGAGGATTATTGATAGAATCTACAAGAACTGGTACTGTGATTGCCAATACATCCTTGCATGTAGCCGTTTTAACTAGAAAAGATTATAAAGTTCTATTGGAAGATAGTTAATTGGGTAATGCTTGCCATAAATAAAAGAAAAAATAAGAAAGAAGACCAAATTATTGAGCAATTCTATATTGAAAAATCTCACATACAAAGAGGCTATAGAGACATAATACAAATTTGAAAAGATCCATTTTCCAATTGGCCATTATATATATAAAATTGGTGATAGTCCACAATAATTAATTTTAATAAAAAAAGGCACAGTAAGATTATTTAAGAAAGAGAATAATAAAATGTTTCCTTTGTGTGAATTAGGTCAAGATTAATACTTTGGAGAATTAGAATATTTTGAATAAAGTGATCGTATCCATACTGCATAAGTAACATCTCAATATTTTTCTGCATATTCTATTACTTACAAAGATTTAGCCAAATTATTAACATCATATCCTTAATGTGAAAAATAATTGAAACGTAATTATGAATTGAGACACAAAATTAATGATGAAAGAATGAATAAAACAATTAAGACCCATAAAAAACTCAATTATTCTGAATAATTCAATCAAAAACCATCTAATCTATCCCAACCTATTTTTGAGATCAAATCATAATTTAATAATGTATAATAAACTATAGAGTCTTAAAAGATTTAATTAATTAATTAAGCAAAAAAATAGATTTGCTAAATGGAATTTATTAAGAATACTTCATAATAATTAAAGTAGATAAGAAGAATATAAAGGAAAGAATAAAAGAAGTATTTTATATTATTAATTTAGAGATCAGTAAGAAAATGAGAAAAGTCTTGCAGATACTTTAAATCATTTAGAAGTCTAATCATCATTAATTAGAAGAGAATTTAGACGTAGAGAATAGAGACGATTTAGTAGTCTTTTATTTGACAAAGAATCAAATAATAATGCTTCTTAATTTAATAGTCATTAAAACTCCAAAACTTTTAATAAAAATTAAAATTACGACAGATAAAGTAGTATATCATAATAATTTAAATTTCCAAACTTTATAGACTTTAATTCTAAATTATAATCATATGAAATAATAGAAGATAAATAAAAAGATTTACTAAGTCCTTAGAAAGAATTTCTTTCTCCTATGAGTCAAGGTGTTATGATTTCTTCTAAACATAATCTATTTAGAAATAAACCAAATAGATTATGTTTGATGAGTAATTATGAAAAACGACAACCAAAATCTCACAGTACTGAATTATCTATAAAAACTTTTTTTAATTGAATTTAGAAATCTAATATTTTATAAAAAAATGTCTAATGACACAGGAGTATAGAAAAAGAAACATAAATATATTGATTCTGAAGAAGAAGAACAATAGTAACAATAACCTGTGTAATAACCATAACAATAATCTCCTATTGCTTAAACTATCACAGTTGATTATAAGAAATGGAAATTCTTATTTGAACCTGATTCATCTGAATAATAGGAAGGTATTAATTTGAAATGTATAATAAAGAAAAGAAAGTTAAAAAAAATCCAAATCCATAAATCACCAAATAAAAATAACCTGAACAAAGAGTTAAGCAAATTAAATCAAATCCTGATACTGATGATTTGAGATATGAAATTTTATGTAGATGGTGGTATTGTTTCGATTAATGGCCACCTTCAGATTTTGATTATGAAGAAGCCTTATCTAAATATAAATTAAGAAAAGTTGATTTATCTGTTTTCAAAAGAGAATCAGAGATTAATGATTAAGGTTTAAGAAAGGTTTATGAAGTTAATGGATACAAAGGTGTATTTAGAACTTCTGCTGTACATATATCAATTATATTTATAGGGTGATACTTTAGATCTAAGACCAAGAGAAGGTTGTCCATCTTATGAATAAATTTCAAAGATTAATTCAAAAAATCTGCCTAAAATATTAATAAAAGGCTTGAAAGCTTAATTGGAAGACTTAATTAAGCATGAACCCAATAACCAATAATTAAAAAATCATTTAGAACGCTAATTAAAATAAATCTAATAATAATATCAAAGATAGATGGATTGATAATTTTTGATTTAGATTTTATGTAGAAATAATAAAATAATAAAAACAATAAAATTCATTACCATATATCATTTTAATGTCTTTACACATAATTAAGTGTCTTCAAAAAACTATCATTCATATATAAACTAGATCTAGGCAATAAAAAAACAAACTATTTTAATGATCTCAATTTTTATTTTAGATTCCAAGATTAAATTAGCCATAAAGTAATTTAAAGAACTATGGCTATTGAAATAACAAAAATAAACCAATCTAATTTGCTATTATAATTATCATCTATAAATTTTTCTAAATCTAATTTTAATTAATCCACATAATTATTAATTGCTTTCATTATAAAACTAATTGCAATTGCATCTTCAGATGTGGAATAATCAATAAAATTTTAATAATTGGAAATGTAATTATTCATGTAATGTACTAAATAATATTAAACAGATTCCAAAATTCCATTCTATAATAAACCTTAATGTAATTATTTACAAATTGATATGTCTATTTATATAGACAAAATACTACAAATATCTTCTTTTAATAAATCATTACTTTGAGTACTTCTGAAACCTAAAAATTTAGAAATATCAATTTACTTGATTCTTATAGATAGATTAATGATGAATCAATATAATCATAATACACTTATAATTACTACTTTGTTAAGTAGTTATTATTTAATAGATATTCCTTATTTTCATAGATGATACTACTCTGACACATTATAGAGAATGATTCTAAATATTTAATACTCTAATTATAGATTTTAATATTGGACATTATAGTTGACATAGCATTGAGAGTATCAAAATAAGTTAATAGTAAATATATTAATATGAATGCTAAACAAAATAAAGGATAAAGAAAGTTTAGTGTTCTTTTTATTGTAAAAACATCTTTTAGATTTAGATATCTTTTCATTTTTTATAAACTATTATTATTCATAGGTCTATAACTTGAATGAATAGTTTAATTTTCTTAATGCTATGAGAAATCCATTTTAAGTTCATATATATTAAGTTTCTAATAATATAAATAAATCATATACTTATTTATTGTTAATGATATTTGCACAAAAATTGATTTCTCTATCAATACAATCTATTGAAACTTATTCACTGCATCTAGTAATCTTCTTTAAATATTTAAAATAATTATAATAAGCTATCAATGAAACCATTGAAATGAAAAAGCTCAAAATAACTAAAGATAATATAAGACTTCTTTAAGAATCATTAAAATTATTAATTTAATTTTAAACTTATTCATGAAATTATAGATTAATTTCCTCATACAAAGTTTTATGAGTTGGAAATTCTTTTATTAAATTAACAAAAGTAGGCACATCATCAAATTGTATAATATTTTAATTCTAAACAAAATCTATTTAATCATATAATGTTGTTAAAGTTAAATATAGAACATCAATTTTCATTTAATTTAATTCTTAAGTACCTGTACTTTTAAAAACATCTTATATTTATGAAGTTAATAAATATTTCTTTTATTAATCAACAAAAATAATTGAATTCTCAATTAATAAACGATTCAAATGTGTATAAAATTGATCTGAATTTTGTATATTTGGACTTTTTGACATTAAAGATAGCTATATACTATCTACATAATTAGTAGATGTAAATGCTTTTAGAATTTCAAAGGTAGGTATCATAGTTTAACATTCAGAGTTGTATCTAAGTTAATACATTATTAAAAATGTTATTATGATTCCAAAAATAAGTGCATTTATTAAATGCATTATATATAATATTTTCTCATTGCTTGAATTACAAAATTCATAATATTAGACACCTTTAAATAGAAATTTAGATCCCTCTGATTATTATTTTTAAGATGTAGCTGATGCTTAATGATAATCTTAATTAGAATAATATTCATTATTAATTTAATTATCTGAATTTGAAATTCTGGCAATACCTTTACTTGCAAAATATTTTGATTTTCTTTCTGCTTTTATTAAAGTTAATCTTTTTCTTTCTTAAAATGGTGCTTAATTCAATTATTAAATTTGATTCTAAGATTCAGTAATACATTACTCATTAATTTAAGGAAATGAGTATTGATTCATCCTTATAGAAGATTCACTACTTGCTTTCTCATTATCTTAAATATCTGGAAGAGTATCTGTTTTCTTGGAAGATTATCTAATACTATCTTAAAGATTAATAGAATGATCACTAGGACTGTTATCTGTAATTTCAAGTTGATGAACCTTGTTAAACTCAATGATGTAGAACTATACAAATTATAATATAAATTAATAATGATACTTTTGATATTTTATTATTGATTATTCCATATGTTAAAGTCAATGTTAAATCAATAAGAAATTTATCTTATGAATTAATAACAAATAATTAATCTTCAAGTCTTAATTTATAATGATTATAAATAGATTTAATATTCTTTTATCGTTTAATTTATTAATTAGTTATCACTAAAGATTTTCTCTTTTCTCTTACAGTTTTTGAATCCATCATTAAATTTAACTTTTAAATATTTTCATTAAAATCATTATAAAACTTAGAAATTTCTTAATTACAAATCTCCTATGTTGAATCGAGAAAAAGAGATTAATAAGCATAAGAACTTATACCTTAAATAATTTCATAATCATCAACAATTATATGACCTCTTACATTCTCAAATTTACCTATTGGTTTAAGTTCTTACATAAAACAATAAACAGGAAATTATGTAGCAGTAATAGTAAAACATACATCAATAAACATTTCTATAAATACAATCTCTTGATTTGCTTTTTAAGCTATTAAATGACGTTCTTATCTCAAAACATTTGGTCTACTACTCATTAAAAATAATTCCATTATTGTATTATGTACTTTAGCAATTAATGGTGGTACTAATTAATGAACAGTCTAAATTTAATTACAAAATTCATCCATGCTTTAAAATCCAAAAAAATTATATGAATTATCTGAACGAGATAAAATTTCACCTCTACATTTATATTTAGAAAATCTAGATAAATTAATTTTAAGGTAACTAACATTTTAAGATTGATGAGATAATATTGGAATTTCAAAAAACTTAATTTCTTTGGATCTAAGACTCTAAAATTTAAGAATATATTGTTATTACATTTTTATATTGATAAAATGAGAAGTAATCACATTTTATTTCTAAATAATAAAACATTAATAATAATGTTGATGTTCTACATTGAGATTAATTATAGAATTACAATAAATTACCTTATAATTTATCAAGTGTTTTATTTTATTCTATATAAAGTTATTAAACTTCTTCATAATTCAATTTATTACTACTTAGTTTTAATAAATAATTTTATTTCATTTATAAACTATCTATTAATTGATTAAAGAAATGATTTCTTTATTATTCAGTACTCCTATAATCTCCATATTAAATAGTTTTTCTAATTTATAATTCATTCAAATGAGATTATGTTCTTTGAAGAGTGAGAAACTTTGAATAACTTGTCATCAAATTAAGAACAATATCATCATATGGCTTTTTTTGTTCTTGCAATTATAATTTCACTTCCATTATTTATAACCATGTTTAATAACATTCCTCTGATTTACCTATATAACTTATCAATTATGTTATATATGTTAAATTAGGTTATGTTACATATATTTGAATATTTAAAATTAGTTTTACATAATATCTTATATATCTATCAATTAAATCAATTGAAATAAATAAATTTGAACAAGTATGATCAGAAAATATTTTCATTTATTTATTATCATGATTCAATTCTAAACTTTATTTTTTTTCACCCATAAATCCTCGACAAAAACAATATAGATTATTACATAATTCAATATGAGTTTTTACTAAAATTATACATTGCATTAGAAATTTTGATTAATTTGGATTAAATACATCAGTAGGAGAATAAGCTTGCTATTTCTAAATACCCAATAACTCATATAAACGTACAAATTATAAGAAATATTTATAATTAGTTAATCTAACTGTATTTATTTATTCTAATTTCTATAACCAAATTAATCTCTCAATTTAATGAGCATCATCATTTATAGCCATAGATTTAGTAATAGTTTAAGAACTTCTTTTTAATATCTTCTATTTAAGAGGCATATTTTCAGCATGTAGTGTTTTCATAACAATATTTTTAAAATTATAATCTGTCAATTAATTAAGCATTTTACATGTACATGGAATACTCATTAAAGTTAATGTTATTATGTCTGTTATTGAAAATTACAACAATTTTGTAAAAGTAATACCAAAAGTAAATGAAAAGGCAAAATGAAATACATATATTTTATATGGCTAAACAAATGGAATATTTTATGATTAATCCTATAAATCAAATAATAGATTCAAAAGTACAAAACAACTTATTATTTATTAGAATATTAAATTATCATAAATTGTTTCATGATCCATTAGATACAATACACTAAAATATAAAACTGTTGGTACAATTCTAAGAATCTATCCAATTTTAAAAGATGTTGTAACTCTTAATCTTAAATAATTTGTGTCTTTTAATCTATATGATTATTGCATATATAAAGACAATGCCTCTAAAATTATTAAAAATAATAATTAAATCAAATTTAGAGTAAAATTTAAAGCAAACAATACAACTTAGTAATTAGATGAATTAAAAATTCTATAAAATATTATTGCTATCCAATATATTTAAGGTAAAAATAAGATATGAGTAAAATAATTTGTTAGTAAAGATGTTCTGTATAAATACATCTCAATCAAAGATCCATTATCTGTTATCATTAATTATTTTAATAAAAAATGTTCTACAAAATCATTATCATTATATGTACTATTTAATAAGTTTAGGGATTCTAATCATTAAATATATATTTATACAAAAACTATTCCCATCATTCTTACAAAACTATTTTTTGTTTTAAAATTTAATCTCTTTAAAATGAATATATTCCAATCTCACAGCTATTACATTAATCAATAACATTAAAAAAAGCAAAGCCAAAAATATCAACTGAAAATATATTATTTACTCTAATGATAAATATTCTAGAATTAAAATTGTTGGCATTGATATTCTACTTATTAATTCAATCTTATCTTAAGTGTAAGAGGGTTCTTCAAATTTCTAATCAGTACTCAACATTCGAATTATTTACTGATATAACAATGCTAATGCTATCGTCTAAAACATCCTGATAAATTCGCATAAGGCCCAAAATAGTCTATTTTCTTGCTCTAATGCTACCTATGAATGTCCTATCAAATATTACAATTAAAGTTTTTAATATTTCAAGCTTTTCTTTATAAATTTCATAAAATTATTTATGAATTATGTTTAATATATGAGAAAAACCCTTGATTTTTATCCTAAACACATTCACTATTATTCCAAAGATATAATATAGTATATGAGTTATAAATATAATAAAAAAGAGAGCATATATTAAATTTAGATTTCCTATTTTTTAAAATAATATAATTAAACATTATTGAAATAAAGACTTATAATTTATATAAATTAATTTGAAATTTTAATTATGTGATAAATGATAATATTTCTTTAAATTTGTTGGTGAATAATTAAAAATGAATTCTTAATAATCAATAGCAACCAAAAAGAAATTTATTAATGATAAAATATTGGTTTTTCCCTTTTTTAATAATGTTATATTTATAATTTAGAGAAATGAAGCAAATAATCTTGAACTTACTGTGTATTGGAATTTGTCTATCCATTAATCATTCAAATGTGTAAGAAACTTTAAATGCAGAAATGAATAATGAACACATAAATGAACATGATTTTATTGATATTTCATAATTGGATGTTTGAATAAGGCAAATCTTATGATAATGATTTTACAGCAATTCATAGAATGTAGATCTTTATGAGAAACAAGAAAAATATTGAATTATAGAACGGTTTGTTTATCCATAGAAACATAATCATATTGAAGTCAAATATAAGGCTAAATTAATGAATTTTCAGATTAAGATTAAGATGAAGTAGCATGAAAATGTTTATGCATCTAGATTTTAATGATGATGATTTAATATTCTCTAATCATCATTTCTTTAGCAAACAAGAAATCAAAGAATTGAGAATCCTCCAATCTTAAATTAAATGAGAGAATAGGCAAAGAAAAGAGATTCATTAGATTGGAGTAAATAAGTAAATAAGTATATTAATTAAGGTTACACCATCTAGACCATAAGGAGCATGTGGAAGTTGTTGGGCATTCTCATCTTCTGATGTAACAATAAGTAGACTTGCTTTGAGGGGAAAGGAAGACTTAATTCAATTATCAAAGACTCATTTAATATATTGTTGTGCAGGAGATAAGAATAAGGGACGCCATGGAGGATCTCTTATCGGTGCATATAAGTTCATTAATGATAATAGACCTCTTAAAGAAAATGAATATAGAGAATATGATTTTACATAATAAGACTGTTAGAAGTCAGGAGGAAATATTGGTAAAGGTTAGATAGTTGATGTAGAGAAAGTTGATGATCCAACTTTTGAGTAAATTTATTATCTTATTAATCTAGATAAATTAAAGAGGCTCTTTAAGATGGTCCAGTGACTGCTTTGATTTATGCAGATAAGTCATGGTTTTAAAATGGAGGTGGTATCATAGATACTTGTAGTTATGTTTGAGTCTAAGAACTTAGCCATGCAGTTGTGATAATTGGTTATGGAAAAAGATCATTATAAAGTTCAAAACTCTTCAGGATCAGGATGGGGAGAAAATAGATTTTTTTTAAGTTTAGAGAAATGGAACTCCTGAATGTTTCGATAAGATTAAAAAGATTTCATAACCAATAATTTAATGATTCCAATTAATATAACATAAATTCATTAATCTATAAATCCTTAAACTGTCTTATAAGTTATTTCTTATATCTATTTTGGTGGTAGTGGATCATTCTATTTACCTAATAATTTTGAGCTCTATTCATTTTTCTATTGTTCATTTTATGGTGAAGCCACCTTTGATTCATATTCTTATCTATCACAATTGTAATATTATAAAATTAATTATGGGATGTTTATATTTCTGTTGTCTATCCATAAGAATTAATTTAAATTAGATCTAAAATATTTGCGTTGGTATGCAGCATATTATCTTGATTTTATATAGAATTGTTAAATAAATTTAAGAACATATTCTCTTTTTTATTTTTCTGCTCTCCTATTTGATATATACCTTCCTTCAAAAATATTTTAAAAACATTTTAATAAATTAACAAATTCATCATACCCAATAGGTGTAGTGACACGAAACTCTTATTAATCTAACATTTAATAAAATTAATAAAATTCTTCCAATAATCCTTATTGAATCATTTAATCACACCTGATACTATATTATAGATTACCTTGCATATATTTTTTTTGAAATGTTTTCTTAAGGTTCTGTTAAAAAAAATCCTCTAATATCCAATTCATCACATAGTCTTGGATCTTCCTGATTGAATGGAGATGTTATAGATTATCCATTTGTTAATAGAGCAAATCTTAAAGCTTTTTAAATTCTATATCTATCTGATATATTGATTGAATCATCATAATTTTAAAAATATTATTTTAATAGAGCTTGTGGATCTTCACAATTTTCTAATAATTTTGATGCTTATAAATCTGCAGCTTTTATTTACTCTTCATCAAATTATTCCTTTCTTGAATTAATTAAATAATTTAGGAAGAAACAACATCCACCTTCTAATATGTAATTATCTTTTTATTTCAATATCTACAAGACATCCTTCTTAAAACGATAACTTGTTATAGTCTATTTTAATCCATCATATTTTCCTATGAGTTCATAATTCTATAATGTCTTAGGCCAATTACTTGATATTGGCCAATTCTTATAAATCTATAATGATATAAGAATTCATACTTACAGAGAATCAACTGGTATTATTTTGGATTTTAATTATTCACTTAGTATTTAAACTACTTATGATTTACCTGATCCTGTAAGTCCTGATACCACAAGCAATTTTTTCATAATTAAAATTTATTTTTTAATACGTTCAAAATACCAAATACATTAATAACTCATTATTATTATTATGGTTGTTGTTATTGTTGTTCCAAATATTTACGAATCTATCTCTCTACTAATTCTTAATTTTTCATTAAGAATTTCATGTTTTTTGGATCTTCATTACGCATTTCATCATCATTTTACATAAGTTCTAAATATGAATTTTATTGTAAAAATAAATTTTCCAAAAATAAACTTGGATTCTTTTAATATTAATAATAAGCATCTCTTTTTAATTTATGGCTCTTACTTTACTCTATGTATTTTTGAATCTACTTTTCAAATCCCTTAATTTTCTAATTTAATTATATAAATGGATGTTCTGCTCTCTATTATTTCTTTTCTGAATTATCTTCTGTCACTACCTTTTAAGCTAAAAATGGCATTAATTCTGGTTAATAACTCATTTCTTATTCTACTACAACATCAAATCCAATATAATTGCTAACTCCTAAATGGTGTTTTATTACAATAGGTTCTGGATTTTCTATAAACATTTTTAATAACATATTCAAATTAGATAAAGGTATACGTTCTTATCCAAATAATTATTTTAATTATTCATCAGCTATTATGTAATCTTTACTTTCCTTATCAGTCAAATTATTTAACTAATGAATATAATTTATTAATTTTTACTTTTACATATTCCCAAAAACAATATAAAATTTATGATCTTGTGCCTTCTTTAATTCCAAGTAATTGTTAAAGTGTTTTATGTAATTTATACTTTTAAGGATAAGTTTAAAGACTAATTTAAATAATTACATCACATGATGGTCCTTTTCTTTTAATATGAAATCCACTTGTTTCTTATTATTATTATGATTATGATTGTTATTATTATTATTACTATTATTATTATTATAAATGATTTCTACTCCATTGAATTATATTTTAAGAAGGATAATATGTTTTATCAAATTAAACTTCAAGTTATCTAATAAAATAAGAGAAAGGTTTTTTATCCTCTGATAGTACTTATCCTTTGATGAAAAGATTCCATTCATCACAAACTAATTCAGAGTATACAATAATTCTAAGGGTCTTTTTAAGATATTGTCCTGGTTAAATGAATGATTCTTATAAATCAACTCGCTTATTTTTAATCATTTGATCTATTCTATTCTCGTATCTTTAAATAAGTGGTATGATTATTACTTCACTAAATTATTCAATATTTAAATTTATGGACATAATTAAATTGTTTCATCATCAAATTAAATACTAGATTTATCGTAAAGTTATTTGAGTTGGGTTTTAACATCTGGTTATCTAATAGGTTATTTTTGTGGTTAAGGCTACTATTAAGTACTTTATTATTATTATTATTATTATTGAGATGCCATTTAATATTAAAAATATTAATTATATATTATAATAATAATAATAAAGGTAGTGTTGGAATAACAAAAATAAAGAAGAAAATCAACTTAGATATAATATTTTTAGATAATTGATTATATAAATTAATTTATATTAAAAAATGGCCTGTCCTGAACATAAAGCTAATAACTTTATTAAGTTCATATCAGTATTAGTAGCAGTAGTGTTAATAGTTTTGGGAGTGTTGAAATTTTACTTTACTCCAGACATTCCTATTTTAGTGGGGATTTGGACAGTTTATTGGATGTAATAAAGTTGATGAAAGTTTAGTATTTTTGGATTATTATTAATCCTTGTTGAATTGAATGTTAGATTGGTTAAAGAATACTTTGGATTTATGATTGAATATTGTGGAAAAGGTATGTTTGTAATATTGTAATACTAAATAATAATTTTAGCTGTGGAACCCTTATGATAGATAGCTTTGTTGATCCACATATTTTGCATGAATCAATAGTAGGATTATTGATAATATTTGCTGGATTTTTAATTATCATAGTGGGATATTCTGCAATGCCTAGTTAAAACTTTCCCCCTCCTCCAGTTCCAGTTTGATATATTTATGAAAATTATATTCTAAATTTTGTTAGCCTTTTGGTTGACTTGGTTTTGGGTGAATGTTGAAGATAGTGTTACAAAATCATTACGAATTCTTAATAGTAATTCTAATAAACCCTTGAAAAAGAAAATACTCTTTGCATTTTCTAGTGATGAAGACATTTAAGTTTAAGCGACAACATTGTTAAAAGAGTTATAATGTAGTAAAGAGGATAGAAATATGAAGAATATATGTAGTAGTATATTATTTCATTTCGAAAATGGTTTGGGATCTGAATTACATGTTACAGAGGGATTTGAAAATATTGTGTAAATTTCTAAGAAAATATCTACATCAAAGGATTTAGGAGGTAATTCAGCATAAATGGCACTTAGAGCATTCAAAGTAAAAATTCTAATGAAAAATATATTAGGAAGGTGGAGATGTTTATTTATCTGCAATAATGTCTAATCATTATTACTAAAACTTGTTCAATGAATCAATAAAAATAGTTCCATAAAGTTTTTTAAGAGAAGAAATATAAGATGTTCATATTGTTATTAATTTTGATGAAGGTGATGTATATGATACCATAATATGTTAACATACAAATAGATTATATTTGTAAAATGATTAAGACAATATGAGATTTCCTGGTTTGGAAAATTTAGAAGCAAATATTAATTCAATACATCCAGATTTATTAGTAATTGGAGGATTTCAATTAATGAATCAGAAACCTAAAAAAGAATATGAAGAAATTATTTTAAAATTAGAAAAGATCTTAATTGCATAAAAAAACAATTTAAAAATTCACTTTGAAATGGGTGCATTTAATGATGAAAATCTATTATATTACTTAATTGATCATATATTTCCACATATTCATTCAACTGGAATGAATGAATAAGAATTATAATTATTATTTAATTTCTTAACAAAAGGATAATTAGAGTAAAAATAAATAAATACTAATGAATAATTATAATTGATAGTTAAATTACTATAAAAATAACATTTAGAGAGGTATTTTTTTTTAAATATTTAAATATAGAATACATTTCCATTCATAAACTATTCAATTGATTTGTTCAAATTAAGATTGGAGAGATATAAAACCAGCATTACATAGATCAATTCTTGTAGGATTGATTCAAGCAATGAAATCTTATAATGATAATTAAATTGATTAATAATTTAACAATAGCACAAATCTTGAAGTATAAATCTTAATAAACTATATAGATACTATTAGAAGAAGAGGATTTGATTCTACATCCAAATAATCAAACCTTGAGTCAAGATTATTTAATTTAAAACATGAATTTTTGCTGGAATGTGAATAATTAATTAAAACATTAATGTTGTGTTGCTCCAGTATTAATTAATCCTCATCCTATGAGAACTTGTGGATTAGGAGATAATATAGGCAGCACATCATTATTATATTAATTACAATGATAGTTTTATAAATATTCAATAAAGCAATTCAGCTAAGACTTCTTATTCCCCTTATTCAACTATTTCAGAGACAATATTAAAGGAGATTTCTTCATATTGAGAATTAAATTAGACTTTGTTGTTTATATTTGCCTTAGCATGTATTAAACGATTTATCCATTTAAATTTTGAGTTTCTTTTGAATTTATGAATGCTATTTTTGTGCTTATTTTCATTTTTAACTTTTAATTACTTAAAACATTAGATTAGAGAAGATGAGACACTCTGTTACGTTTTTAATTTGTTTAATCTCAATTTATTATTATATAAATTTTCAGGTTCATGAAAATATTCATGCATGCTATCATATTCATTATTATATTCATTAGATGGCTCTATTAATTATGCAAAGCTCT